GTATGCTGAATTTTCCGTATTCTGCATCCCCAATTGCCCGCTCATGGGTATCGTCGATACTACGTCGCCGCGATGCCCTCACAATTTCCGCCCAAAAATGCGGGGAAAGCGGCTTTTCTCAAGCCAAAGGCGTACTGAAATGTCCGCCCAGGAGCTTCCAATTGTCCGCTCCAACTTTCTTGGATAGGGCAATCGACAGGGCTTAGCGGAACGAGCCTGGGAGGCGTCGCTAGTCCCGATCCTTCGAGGGACTTTTGAGCTTATGTCCGATTCAGGCACCACCGAATGCGCTTTTCAGCAGCAGGCAACACGGAAATAGTGGAGGAAACACAGCGGCTTTGAGGTTGCGCCGATAAAGATGCCACACGTGGTTGGCGGCCCGGCGACGGCCGCTTTTTCTGCATGTCAGACTGAGGTTTCGCAAAGCTCGCTCTCTCATTATCCCGCATTCGCTGTGGCCGTTTGACGTGAAGCGGAAGAGTTTGCCCGATGCTCGTCTCATTTATCTCATAAGCGGTGCCAAAAGCATGAGCGGACATAGCAGCGGACCTCGCACCACACCTTCACTTCACTCCAATCCCTAAGCCCAGGAGGGCAAGCCGTACTGCCTGCCCGTGAAATTTTCTTTTCCCCCTGTCGCAACTATGTCATCTTCCCTTTCCGAGACAAATGTCCACTCGGATGGCCCTACGGAACGGGCACCTCAATCATGCCGTCAATGCAGGTAAGTCTTCACAAGGCTGCTAGATGAGCCATCCACGGACGCCTAACGTTTATGTCTGCTCAGGCGCCTCAAGAGGAAGTGCCCGAAAGATCTTCCCTCCTGTGCTCTAGTATGTCTTTGAAGTGGTTCATCAGCTATTGTCGATGCTGATGATACTTTCTTAAAGTGCGTTCGGCTCGGAAAGAAGTGCCAGTACCCAGCCGGCCGCAAGGCCTATGGCTCGCCACAGGAAGATTTGGAAGATATGCAGTTCACATCAATGTCAACACCAACCTCGGCGTCTGAAGTTTCAACATTTGTAGCTCCATCTGCTTCCAACTTTCCGACTGCATTCTTCCTCGATGCAGACTTGTTCCAGCCGATCTCTCACGACGCCTTGCGCTGCACATCGGAAGTGCCCCCGTACATCTCCGAGCTTCTTGGTCCCAACATGATGGCTATCTGTGAAGCGTACTCCGGCTCTGTTGACCTCTGGTTTCCATTCGTCAGTAGAAAGAAGGTGAGGCAAGACCTAGAAGCAGGTGTCTCGGCGGAATTGGCCCTACTCCTGCTCTGCATGAAACTTGTATCGGGATCTACCCCAGCTGATAATATGCATCAATCCGCTGCTGAATTAGCTATCTATCAAGCTGCTCGGAGATTTGCAAATGCGTTGGAAGTCATCATTCCCACATCTATGCGTCTTTTCCAGTCTCTCGTGCTCATAGCTCTCTACGAGATTGGCCACGGCATATGTCCCACCGCCTACCTTACGATTAGTCTTGCTGCACGGCTCGGCCTTTTGAGAGGGGTGCATGATCGTAACAATGCCACGCAACTCTTCCAGATTCCTCCAACTTGGACTCACTGGGAAGAGGAGCGAAGGACATGGTGGGCAACTTCCATATTAGAGCGGTATGTTTATCGGACAAATTCAGAGCCCTGGAATTTTCGCAGAGCAGAGACAAACAGTCATAGACAACTAACTCGTGATAGTTACATGAACCTTGGCCCCACAGGATTTCCTCTTGCTACCCCCGAGCCTGTTCAAGGCGAATTACTGCCTATATCGGACACGGAATGGTTCCGCGGGTCAATAGGAACAAGCCAACCGCTTTACACGACAGGCTTCTCAACCGACTCGGAGATCGGTCCTTTTGCGCGAACTTGTCAGGCTTCCCATATACTAGGTCGAGTGCTTGCGCATAGAAACTCTCGAAAAGACTCCGTGATTCAGAAGGAAACTCTGGATCAGGCACTCCAGCTGGAGGCAACGCTGGGCGCTCTCGATTCTCACCTTTTTCAGTCAACGGACGGCGGATCGGCAATTGTCGACCTAGCTCTTTGTACAGTCGCACGGCTGACTTTGTATCATGGCTATGCATGCATCCAACCCGGCGCCAGAGGGGAGAGACTACCGGAGGAAAGCGACATGCAAAATGCCTCGATAAGAGGGTTGAAGCAAATCATTTCAACACGCGGCCCAATGATCGCCACCTTTGTCATTCAGCAGGCGGCAATTGACATCAACAGTCTGAGCCCACTTGTGATCCAAGTGCTTTACGACATTGCCACTGAGTGCCAGTGGTTTGTCCGCGAGGGCGATGTTGCCGATGGCGCAGACACGACTCTGCAATTGGCTATGGAAGCTTTGATACTGCTTTCGCAGCGGTGGACGGTAGCAGGTGCGTATCGCTTTCGTCAAAAGTCACATTCGCGTAGCTGACAGCCAAAAGTTCAATGTCTCCATCTCTTAAATAGTTCGAGCGGACATTAATGCGATCTACTATGCCAAGACGGCCAAGAAATGCCATCAGCCTTTGTTTTGCTTCTTTTCACGTCAAAGAACTTTAGTTGTTTTCTCTTAACCTCTTGGCATGGGCCCCCCAGTGAACCTTCAGCAGTGATTGAGTCGTGTGTTGAAGAAAGTTACCGATCGACCACACCACTACGAATTTGAAACAATCGCAACTTAAATCCAGATCTTTGGGATCGGAATATATGCCAAGGAAACCCTAGATTGAGTTTGCACCGACAGTTGGACTTGCAGGGTTCCTTGGCTGCGGGCGTTCGTCTGATGAGGTTGCATTTGATAAGAGTGTGGCGCTTCAACCTCAATTGGTCTTCAACCTCACTTCAACTTTTGGTACGCTCAATCGATTGCAATGTTCATGACCTATACTGCACGTTAGCTTGACCAAAAAAATCCCATATGACGCGGTCGCGATTGCAGTGTGAGTAGCTCACCGAGAAATGGTACATCAGTCTTGAGTCTCAGAGTTGAGTTGGTTGGGGCCGCTTCAACACATTGGCACGGAAAGTTCACCAACACCACGTATTTTCCCCTCAGCGGCATGGAGCACGAGTCAACTGAACAGATAAGCCAACTCTTGTTGCCGGGACAGAGTGGGAAAGTTGACATCCCGATTCGGCGAACGTTGTGTTGATCACATCGGAAGGGGCAACGCGGCCGAAGTGTTTCGGTGGCCCGGGCTCCGGAGTTGCCCAGCGGAACTCTCCTTCGGAGGATATGTCAAGATCTCGGGGGGCGGGCCCGGGGAAACAAACGTGTGAAAGGTCCATCACGGATCTGAACCGATCACCTGCATTCGACTGAGTCGAGTGAACTTGACAGAATGCCACAATTTTAACTTCCAGTGCAACATCTCCCGTGATGGAGCAGGCGGGCTTTTCGGTAAACTCTGTTGATTGTTTCCCACGTGAGCGGGATGCTTGCACTGCTCCAAAAGTGGTCGGTGCTGACCTCATCCAAATTGCACACTGACTCAGCGTCGTGAGGGAGTCCTTGAACGCTCCACATGCTGAGTTTCGTTCAACGTTCAAGAAGCAAAAAGGCCAATATGGGTATAAGGGTAGCTCGAAAATGGTGCGTCGTGGGTTATATATCTGTGAGGTTGCGGATGAACGGAGGTTGTGAGTTGTCAAAGACTAGTTGCGCTTCGAAACTTGGAATCGGGAGATTGGGCGTACCAAGTTTTGGCGACAATAGTGCCGCGGAGGCATCCAAAAGGATCCACTCGACCCTTGAGAGGCCGCGAGTCGGTCAGCACTTGAATATCGATGACACACGACGTGGTCACTGATATTTTACAGCCCAACGGGGCTGTAGGGGCTGACGACGACCCTCTTCACGTGTCGCCGAAAGAGCCTAGACGTCGCCGAGGTGTTCATGGGCATTTACGATTGTCTATGAAAGCTCGCCGAAACTCTCATGACACTGACAGGGGCAGTGAGCATCAGGTGAGCATTCAGCAGCTGCATTCGGGACGTGCCATCCCGCAAAACTGACTCGCCAGAGATCTCCTGAGTTCAAGAATTCGGCTCCGACTAGCCCCAAATATTACCATGTTCAGAATATGGGAGCGTTTGGAACTGGCGGGGCTGGGTTCTGGACAACTCATACGAATAATATTACAGCTACCGCCGTTACCAAGCTTTGTGGTCGAAAGGTGGCTTGGCGGAGGTTCGAGGCGTGTTGACTCAATTAACTTATATTGAATCTCGGGGTTGACTACCGATTATAAACTACAATGCACGAAGCGATAGGCATGATGAGTCGTCGATCAGTTGACGGATCCGAGAACCCGCATCCGAATACGCAAATGAGCTGGGGATAAGAATTCAGGTGAGGCAGCAATCACATGAGGTGGTATGCAACATGGAGTCGGCTAGTCAGCAAGTCGTGAGAGCATCGGGCCGCGAGGTTGCAAGCCGACTGGCAGTTGCAATAGGGTATCTGACTCAAAACTATGCAAACACATTCAATAATGGCTAAGTGTCTTGTGACAAAATCTCGTGTGAATGAGTCAATACAACGCAAGGCAATTAAGCTTACTTCATCCACAACAAAAGAGACTATGAAGATGAAGACATTTTATCGCACACAGGAATAATCGAATGAGCATTAAATTCAAGTAGGCATTCACTTGTGTAAAGGCAGTAATTGATCTTAACATAGCATGTTGCTAGTCTACTCCAGTTCTATCCCCAAAGTCTAACAGTACACAAAACCAGGAAACAAACATAACTCGCGTGATAACAGATGCAGAGGGTGGTATAAGAGGACAAAGTGTATTGACATTAACTCGTGTGTGGCAGTGTCCCGGGGGGTTGTAAGAGGAGACCTCTAAAGCTCCTTTCCGTTCCAGACGTCCCTGAGGGGTAATGGCTACTCGCAAAGTTCGCAAAGTTCACAAACATGACTCTCGCCAGGTCTCGTCTACGAGGCGCTCTCAATGGCGATGTCGTCGGTCCATATCGATTAACGCGCACGCGCTTAGTTGTGGGAGCCCTCGCCGATGCAGAAGGGGACGGGGTAGGTGGTGCTGTTGCAAAGGCGGATGACACCCTTGACCCAGTTGAGGTTGCCGTAGGACTGGTCGGTGTAGGTGTCGGAGGTGAAGGGGGTGTAGCTGGGGGAGTCGGTGCAGCCCTCGAGGATGTTGCCCGTGATGCGGCGGACCTGGGGCTGGGAGACGACGAGACCGAACTGTCCCTCGGGAACAGTGAAACGGAGGTTCTGAGACTCGGTGGAGGTCCAGGTCTTGGTGTAGGAGACGGAGAGAGAGACACCGAGGGCGATCTTGGGGATGGTGTAGGACAGGCCGGCAGTGACGCCGACGGAGTTGGCAAGGGAGTAGCCCTTGTCGACAGAGACAGCGACGTCGTTGCCGACAGAGTTGACGACGGGAGACATGGGGACGTCCCAGTTGAGGAAGGTGTCGTCGGTGAGGATCTGGAACTCGGTGGATTCCTCGCAGCCGCGGCGCTTGAGGCTGGGCTCAGGGGCAGAGGCGACGCGAGCTCTGGGGGCAATCTGGAGGTCACGGGCCTTGATGGCCTCGTACTCGTAGTCCTTCATGACGGTGTAGGAGTCATCCTCGCCAACAACGACGACGTCATCGTAGTTGAGGGCGACGGGCTCCGGGGCGGCGGCAGCAACGCCGAGGATGGCGGAGAGGGCGATGATGGAGAAGCGCATTTTGAGGGTTTGAAAAGAGTGTAAATGGGTCTCTTGCAAAGGAGTGTCTTTGAGAAGTAAAGAGTGAAGGTTGTTGTGGGAAAAGAGTGTGGGGGACGAATGGTAACGGAGAATGGACTGGCCTTTCAAGGTGATGATTCCGAGACTGTGGGTGGGAGTCGGCTGTCTTTATACAACAGGGACATGTTGCATCTCGAGCGGCGGCTGTGAAAGGTCATCCCCAGTCTGAGAACCTTTAGACTATCGGGTGTCTGTTCGTTGCTTGACAAGCCGCAGCCTGGCCGTTGCGCTCGAATGTTTCCACTGCCTCAATGTCCCTTGTCCCAGCATAGACGGTGAAGCGCACTTCCGCGCGCAACATAGTCGGCCGACAGACAGTCGAGCACAAGCCAAGCGCAAGTCCGGGGATGCCGGTGCAGGAGAAGCACCTGTGATCACATCGACATGGTCAGCTTGCCAGGTGCTTTCCAGGGCGGAATGTCATCCAACTCCCTAATGGGGAGAAGAGATAATATCGGCTTCATACTATGACTGAGGCAGGCCCAACTGCAGTGCGACTTTCCACTGACTCGAGAGCTGCAAACCGGAGATCGGTGCGGTCCCGGCAGTGGGGGGAGGCGCGGATGGATATCAGATGGCATTCAATAGCACGAACACGAACAAGGCAATACTGGGGTCTCCCAGTTTCACATTGAGAATCGTCCAACCAGATCCGGGCTAAGGAGGGAGCTCAAGCTGTGCAGAGCGTGGAGTTTTGCGGCTCTGAGGTCGTTTCTGCCCAATTGACTTTCGGGAAGGTTACCGAGTCATGACAACCTCACTCTGGCCCCGGCTCACCGTTTCATGCGACATCATCCATGCCCCTGCAGTCCCCAATGAGGCAAGAGATTATTTACTCATGCAATCCCGGGCCCCCTGCTGACCCCGTCTTTCCACCCCTGGACCAGGAAGCCCACCATGGTCCATCAGACGCGAATACTCCTCCATCAGCCCAGCTAGCTTGGAAATCACCAACACCGAAGTCCCAAAGGGCTGAACGATGCCCTGCTTCGCTTCTCGCCTCACGCTTAGCTTCCCCTTTAGGGCGCGCATAGAGTTTGATAACGGGAGCGAGGAGACTAGCCCACGATGCCATCAAGGGATTTCCAGCACCGCCCGGAGGGGCGCCGAGAGGTGACATGGCATCCACCGGCGCGTCCGCAGTAGATGAAGATCAAACTCCCTGGACAGGCCACAGGGTCGTCGGACTCGGTGAAAGGGTCGCCGGACGTAATGGCGGTTCGGGTGGAGACCGCGCTCTGCGCACTGAGCAGTCGGATGACCTTTACCGCTCGTTGGAACTTGGCACGTCCTGGTCATCCGCGTGGTTGTGGTATGTGCAGTATCCGACGGGTGTGCGCATGGAGGTGTCCAGTTGTTTATCACAAAGTAGGCACTTGACTCGTACTGCACGTGGAAGTCATCCGTGGATATAAACCACCAGAGCCTCCGCCCTAGGATCATGATATCTCACTTCCAGCTCCATCCACGCCCACCACATTCTTTTCTTGTTCCGATCTAGTAATCAGAACCAACTCAGTTCATTCATTTCACCACCAACTCCGTTACAGTCACTACCTTCTCCAAACACATCCCACCCAACCACTATCAACACCGCCAAAATGCAGTTCTCCATTGCCAAGGTTGCCTCCCTCTTCGTGCTCCTCTCCGTCGCGTAAGTCTCAGTTCAGTCTCGACATCAAACCAGCACCAGAGGCTAACAGACTCTTAGTTCTGCCGACTTGCACGACAACTGCGCCTGCCACAACGGCGACAGCTACAACTGGCGCATCACCACCAAGGCTTGCGAGCTCTACAGCTCCAAGAACTACGAGTGGGGCGTCGGCGTCTACGACGAGGCTTCTGGACGCGTTAGTTTTTCCCCTGCCTCCCCAGCCAGCCGCTCGCGGCTCGCCTATCCCATCAATCTCGCTAACCCGCTCGATAGTGCGTCAAGAAGACCGACAACGACCAGATTGCCGGCAAGGAGTGGGAGGCTGCCTGCCGTGAGGTCGCCACCGGCGAGGGCTTCGCCTGCGCCGACGGCAAGGGTCTCTACTGCAAGGCCGACTCCGACTCCGTCCGCGGCCGCTGCTAAGCGTCTCGTGGAGATGCTGGGGTCCAGATCACCACAGGGCTTGTTTTTGGACTAGTCCTGCCTTTTCCCTTTGAACAACATACCACACACGAAGCGAACCGGCCGAAGCCTGTCCGTAAGGCTGGCTGGGAACATTCATCATTGCTCCACCCACATCCTTAGCCGGCTCTCTGGATCGTGGTGCCTAGGAGATCTTCAGAGAAATGGCATCTTGACCAGGAAATGGCTTTTGACAAATCGTTAGCGGAATTTGGTCCGTTTAGTTACGAAATTCTAGGCGTTGTTGGTGTTCGTATCATATACCTGTACTGTGGTGTCTCGTGTATTGTCTATTTGTTCGCAGTTTGTCCCATAGATGACTATAGACTTGCATTGTGTCCAGCATAATTCTCTACCGTGCTCTATTTTAATTGCTGTGCCATCATGATTTGACTGTCATTATTGGTAGCGATGTATCTACCTCTTGTTCGACTCTGCTTATGACACCATCATTTCATCCCTTAACTATTTTTGAAGTCGCTTTGATATCCACTCAATCACGTACAGCGGAACTTGTCGTCATCATGATGTTGTGTCATTGGTCCCTCTGCTACGATGCTTGGTTTTCAGCTTTCGTATCTTCACTTTCTATGACATGTCGGCCCCATTCCGCGACAGAAGATAATCTAGCTACTCTATCTCTATCAATCGACGATGATGTGATCACAAGGTTGTGTCGTTGATTTTCAGCTTTCGTATCGTCTGTTTGCATATATTGCTGACCCATGTCATGCGATATAGGGCAATATAGTTGCTCCGTCACTCGAGTCGAGCGACTCGACAGTGATGCGACAACGTGATGGTGGTTGGTGCACGCTAAGTTCGGCAATGCTACGGCGGAACGCACACCAATTCGGCCTGAGTCCGACACCACCACTTTACTCCAGACCGGCTCACGATAGTGAGGTGCCCCGCATCAAACAAACTCACGAACTGTTTAAGTCTAAAGACATTCGTGCCCAGACGAAAACAAGAGTCATGAACCGCATTTATCGTATTTGTCACAGCCGCTACATGACCGGATTTAACGCTCAGATCCCCGTCCTTGTGAGAGAGCACGTTTTCCGCATGTGCACCTGTATGGGCGACCTCCACGCCGGGTTACGTGTCAGATCATTTTCATAAATGAATTTATATGATGTGTGATAAGATAAACAAGTTGGCTCTGGGCATCTTCGCTAGCCTCACTTTAGACTAGACTATCATGTTCACGTGGAGCAAAGCTGCTACATCCCACCGGGAAGGTTATTTTCGTGTATGAGACCATTCAGCCCAAAAAGATCTTGCATGTTAGCGAAGAGATAGCGGCCGATAGCCGTGCTGTCAAGCAAGCATCGTGTCTATTCATAGGGCTTTTCCGTCTGATGTTGCGATGTAGGGTTGGTTGGCGGGCATTCTGGAAGGAATGTCGTGATACGGATTCTCCATCGCGAGAGATCTCCTTCCGTTGAAGTTCCGCACTTCAGTGGAGATGACGGAGAAGAGCTATCCTAACTGGGAACCTCTTATCCTCTTTCAGCGAAACCATAATTAAGGGGGTTCCTTCGGTTGCAACCGTGCCCCAGCCACGATGGGGCCATCATGGGGCCCTGTCGAGTGACCCTGAAGTGTCCCTGTTCAGCTCCACGAAGCTCCGACCAGGGCTGCCTTGGCACGAGACAGCTTGCTCTGTGTGGACTCAGCTTGCAGAAGTGCATTGGAACCATTGTTCCAGATTTAATTATTTTTACCTTGATGTCGAGCCCCTCTAACCTGAAAATCTGTGATCTTTTCGCCATGATACCCGCCAAAATGCGGTCATGATGATTTCATCTACCATGGTCGGCATTCTCGGCGAGAAATTTCCCAAGCCAATGAGATCTTCCAAGTGATGCAACGTGTGGTGTCGTTCACACGACCTCATGGACCTCGTGACTTGGTAGGCTGTGGTAGTTAATATACTGGCCCCCGAGGATTTGTACGGGCATTAACAGCAATGCTATGGTCATCCATATTTCCCGATACTGGCATTCCCTGACTTGTGGTTACCATTGCGGCGGAAACATGGAGACAAACACCAATATTCACAAAGTGTTTTAATAACATAAGGCGTGGTCTTTGCGTCTCGCCGGGCATTACTCGTAATCCGTCAAAGCTCGGGGTTTGGGCAGAAAGAGGATAATCTTCCACGTGCAGCGGGGCGGTGCCGACGAGGGGGACCCCCGGACAGGAAGACCCACCGGGATTGCGGACCGGTCGGCGCACGGAAAAGGTCCGAGCCCCCGGAAACCCGCGGAGATCGCGGAGGCAGCAAGGTGTTCGGCGCCGCCGATGGTGAGGGCCAGCGAAGCCGTTCGAGCCGCTGATAACACGCGTCCTTATGATAAGAACGGTGTGGTTTCGGTGGCCTTGTGGTCCGTGGCCAGAGTCTAGGCCGACGATCGCCAAAACGCGCCTTCGAGCCTAATCTGACGCGTTGAGTGAAGAAACCCGAGACGATCGTTTCGATCATCGGTGAAGACGAATGCCGCGTTCGTAGGGCAGGCGAAGGGGGAGACGCTCGGCTTCGGCATTCTGTTGCTTCCGTGATCGACCCTCAGTACCTTATGTCTTCTATGAACCACAGCACATTTGCATGAGGCACCTTTGTGAAGAGACACAACTCATCAATCTGAGGAGGTGAGCCTGCAAACTCGAGATGATTAGAGGGGGAAAAGGGCTGGATCTGGCCATGTTCCTGTGCTCCTGCGATCGACCCTGAATGACTTTTCTCCGTGAACTCCATGCAGCATATGGTACAGGATCTGCGCGAAGAGGGATCCTTACCTCCTTGCCAAACCGCGCCTTCGAGCTAAATCTGCCAGGTTTGGAGTCTAGAGACCCGAGATGGTCGGAAGGGCTGGAATTATCCACGTTTTCTACTTCTGCGATTGACCCTGAATGACTTTTACCTCGAGCCCCATCATATAGATGGTAAATCTTTGCGAGGTGACATACTTACGTACTGGCCATCAAGTTCGCGGAATCGCGGCGCGTTGCTGTAGATTACTGTGACAAATGGGAATCGGTTGGCGTGCTTCAGTTAAAACGTGTTCTAAAAGGGTGCAAAGTCGTGATCTCCGACAGTAACTCCGACGATTGTTGGCTACTTCCCTGTGAAGCTGGAAGATGCGCGTAGTCAGCAGAGAGATGTGGCTGGAGCTCTCCCCACAAAGCTTCGGTCTCGCGCCTCTCATCGTGGCGCGCGTTCGTGGCTGAAGCTCGAGGCAGAATGTGCTGATTCTGCAGTGAAAAGCCTTGATGTGGCTGTGCGAACAGCAAACTTCAGATCGTTGTGGCTGTTCGACAATGCGACATGCTCTACCCAAAAGCGAGCATGTCTCAGCTTGCCCGCCCGCCCATTGAGCGAGGTAATCCCAGTGAAATGATGTCCTCTTCCATGTGAAAGCTAAACGACTAGAGGGAGATCGCGTCTATCTATCAACTTATCCCCCACGGCCGACGGCTCGTCCGCGACTTGCGTGCGGCTGAGTAACCGTCAGATGGCGGTGTCAACGCCACTGGCGCCAGTTCTCCAAAGTGACTTCGTCCATCTACCCCTCACTAAGCGGTAAACGGTTGGGAAGGAGCAGCCTAACGAGCATTTGTGGTGAGATGAGGCCTCTTTAGGCTCGGGTGTGACGTCACTGGGTGAAACCTCGTTGTGGCTTCAGCGACGAGAAGGAGCCGGTGCGCGGGGATCATGCTCATCGCTGTGAGACTTTGGACGGAAGGAAGGAATGTGCTGCTCTTCCCGATCCAATGATCAGCGTCATTGTTGAGGGTGGCACGAAAGGGGAAGAGTGCCTGCTTATTTATAAGCCGAATAAAAACTACAACGTCCTCCCTTCACTCACTAGTGATCCTGACAGCGCAACCTGTTTCTTCACACCTTCACACCGTCGAGTATCATCAATAGCATCAAATAACAATACTGGACAAACTGCGCGTCACATCCTAGAGCCAATCTGAACGAAAGATTCGAAAATGGCGGCCCATCAATTAGCACCCGCGGGCAATTCCGTCGGAATCTTCCCGCAAGTTACCGCGCGACAGACGGAGACCTTGATATTGAAGGAGAAGATGCTCTCCCTCACTGGCGACAACTTCGACATCAAACTCGTCAACGGCACACCGATTTTCAGCGTAAAGGGAAAGGTCATGTCGATCTCGGGGCGCAAGTCGGTCTACGACATGAGCGGTACCCATCTCTTCGACATCGTAAAAGAACATTTCCACCTCCACACAACCTTCGCCGCCATCGACCCACACGATAAGAAGATTATGGAAGTCAAGAACAGTTTCGCCTGTAAGATCCTCAGTTTACCTCCCCTTGAAATATCAAACTGACCAGGCCCGCAGTGATTGGTTCCAAGGCAACTGCTACTTTCATCTCACCAAGCACCGGCAAGACAGAGACGCTGGAAATGAAAGGAAACTGGCTTTCAACCCAGGCAGATATTGTTGACTCCAGTACCGGCCAAGTCTTGGGCAGGATTGACCGCAACATGCTGAGGGCTCGGGACTTTTTCGGAGGCAAGCAGACATACGCGCTCACAGTAGCTCCCGGAGTAGACATGGCGCTCATGGCTGCACTGTGTATTTGCTTGGACGAGAAGAAGAACGATAACAGCGGTTAGAAATACCCGTGGACTCTTATTATCGATCCTTACGCGTTCAACAACATGAACGTCAGTTATTTCTAGGGAGTTATTCGGCCGGAAATTGCGGGTTTGAGTCGCAGGAAGTTTTTCTCTTGATACCTAGGACTCGGAATTTAATGATGAACGATTATCACGCATGTGTGAATCCCGGCTGAAGCGTTCATGTTCACTCTATTGGCATTTCCCGCAGTCACGGTGAACAAATGATTTGACGGACATCTTAATATTCGACTCACTATTGAGAAAGGGTTAAAAGTTGTCATTTTGTTATTGCTAGCTTTACCATGCCTCAATCGTATTTCTAGACAGCATATTCACCATAACGAACACCGTCCCACCACGTGTGTGTCTCTCCCGAAGTTCATATTGCCAATTGAGGCTCAACTACAACCTCATGACTGAGTCGGTTCGGTTCGGCATCTGACTCGGTCCGGGTGACAATGACACCTCACCGACTCGAACTACCGGCCAAGCGACTCATGCACTCGGGATACGACCACATGGTAACTCCCCCGCAAACTTCCCCGCAAACTACGACGCGAAAGGGTCGTATTGTTTGCGAGAAAATTCCCACACACGCGCAGGATTGGGTTAGTTGCTTGCGCGGTCCAATCGGATTGTGGGGGAGAAGACGCGATCTCAGGGACGATCGAAATATTGACAAACGACATCGTCGTAATGGAGGACGAGACGAGCGATGTTTGGACCTCGCGGTGTCCAATTTCCCGAGGAGGTTGTGCTTAAAGACTTTGAGCTGTTCGACATGGCTGTGTAATCTTCAGATTGTTTACTTTGTTTACTCTCTCACTCCGGAACCGTGCTGTTGGTATTCTGCCCAACCACTGAGCAGATTGGATTTCGATTGACTTCGGCTTTCGCTGCGTTGCATTGGGCCTCAGCCATTCGGAACGAAATCGGTATTATGGTACTGTCTTTCCTGCTGCTTATGGCTGCGGCTGCAGCCGAAGGTGCACCAGCTGCAGGAACCAACCAGTCATCCGAAGCTCAGTGAGTTCAACTCAATATCCCATTCTGTCCACACCTAATTACTTGCTAACTCTTCTCTCCTGCGATTAGCATCTTCACACCTCATGGCATTGCTCTCGGCGCGGAAGCCCAAGTAAAAACTCAAGCCTTTGCCCCTTTCACCCTCACACCGGATATCCCGATAGCCACCCTCGACTATGGAGCCGAGCGAGCGGGATTTCCGGTGTTTGAGGTCTCCGCTCTCGACGGCCCCACCCAGGTCGAGGTGAAGTACACCGAGCATTTCGACGGGCTGAACCATCCTTTCGGTGATGGGCCGTACAGCTTCTCGAACCAACTGGGAAACAGCTTCCGCGTCGAAACGTTCAACATCACAGCCAAGGGAAAGACTGTCTCTCCTCTTCTTCAAGGTGGACAGAAATGGCAATCCGTCAGGCTGTTGACCAACACCACGGTCACGTTCTCGAATGTGGGATTCGAAGCGACGATCCCAATCGTTGAGCCCGAGGACCTTCCGGGCCAGTTTTCCAGCGACGATGAGGCTTTGAATGAGATTTGGAAGCTGGGCGCCAGGGCTGCGACGGCTGCATGTGTTGATAAGGGAAGTCAACCGGCTATTTGGACGGTTGATGAGGAGAATGGTGTGCTGGCACAGAGCACGAGACCCTCAATGACGTGGAAGGCGACTGCGTGGACGAACTACACAGTGGAGTTCGATACCAAAATCAAGAAGGGAGGTAGTTGGTGGGTTACGGTGAGTGCACGAGGATGATTATGGTGGTCTTGGAAGACCGCGAGCTGACCAACATCCAGGGTGGAGCGATCGCGGGCAACGGATACACCATCCTTCTCACCGGCGAACTCCCCGAGTCCAACCGATTTGCCAATGTCAATGAGACTCTTACACCTCCGAACACCATTTCGCTCTCATACGGCCCGGACCTCGTGAACCAGACGACCCTGACATCTTACCTCTTGGACGTCTTCAAGGTTCCTTTCACCGTGAAGGAGGATACTTGGTACCACATCTCGACATCCATGTCGCAGAGTGGTCACCTGGCGGTCTCGATCAACGACACGCAAGTCTTGAATATCTCACGCTCCGACTACCCCTGGGCTCTGATCTCATCAGGCGCCTCGTACTCCGGGACTCCCGACTTCACCGGCTCTTTCGGATTCGGTGCTTACCAAGACCACGCGGCCTACTTCAAGAACGCGCACGCATACGATACGGCCAACGGCTCAACCCTCTACTCGAACAATCTCACCAACGCAAGACGTGCTGGTCGAGTACGGCACGCGAGCCAACTATGAGAGCGTCTGCCTCGACGGGCCGAAGCGCGACAGACTCGTCTGGCTCGGCGACTTCTACCACACGGCCCGCATCTCGGCCATCAGCACATCACGAACAGACCAGTCTCGGGGAACGCTGCAGGTGCTGCTCGATACTCAGATCGCCAACGGCCAAATGAGCATCTCACCCAACCTGGGCTACGACCTCAAGTCCATCGCGAACGCCCTGGCGCCATCTGGAAGCTATGGGCTGCAGGACTATCAGCTCCTCGGCCTCATGGCCTTCAACGACCACGTCCGCCTCACCAACGACCTCGACTGGGCGCGGTCGACCTGGCCGCAGTGGCAGAAGGTGATCGACTGGCTTCTCCCGCAAATCAACACGACAACGGGTCTACTCACCTTTGACGGCGGCTTCGCCTTCACCGGCCCCGCGGACGGGGGCTCGGCCATCTCCTGCGAAGCAGTGCAAAGCCTGAACGGAGCCGCCGACGTGGCTGCCATGCTGAACGACACGGTCTCCGCGACCAAGTACCGCACAGCCGCGTCCTCGCTCGCCGACGCGATCAACGAGAAGCTGTGGAACGACGACATCGGGGCGTACGGATACTCGCTCGCCTCCCTGAACGACACCTCCGTCGCGGGCACAGCATTCTGCATCACCTCCGGCGTCGCCTCCGCAAACCGCACCGCGCGCTCCATCGAGGCGCTGTCGCTGCTGAAGCTCGGCCCCGGGTACAAGGACACCTCGCTCGTCTCCTCCAACGACAGCAGCATCAACATCTTTCCGAACACCAACGGCTTCCTCCTGCACGCGCTCTTCATGGGCAACGCCACGGCCACGGGGAAGGCGCTCATCGAGAGCCTCTGGGGCGCGATGCTGCCCGGCACCGAGGCCGCGAACAAGAGCGCGGTCGGCACGAGCTGGGAGTACGTCAACGCCGCGACGCTGCAGCCCGGCCTAGGGCTGTTCACGAGCCTGAGCCATCCGTGGGGAGGCGCGGCGACGTATGTGCTGACGGAGTGGGCGGCGGGCGTGCAGCCTGCTGCGGGGACGGACGGGTTCGGGTACAGGAACTGGGTGGTTGCGCCGGCGGCCGGTATTGAGATGGGGTTGAAGACGGCGAGGGCGAAGGTAGTGACTGCGTTTGATGGGGACTTGAGCGCGGAGTGGAAGGTTGAGGGGAGCGATCTCTACGTGACGATTCGGGCGCCGACGACGACGAAGGGCAGGTTTGTGTATGGGGGGAAGAGCATTGAGTTGTATGGGCGGTCGGTTTACGAGTTCCATGTCGATGCGGCGCTTGAAGCAGGCATAGTCTAGGTGTTGTAGTTAGATAAACCTATTGTAATTAATCTTAGCCAATGCATATGTCATAGACGTTGTCTTCATGTCTGATGTTTCAAGACCAACAAAGAAGCTTGTGCTACTGTTCGGGCGGGAGTTCCCCTCGTTGTGTCATGACGCGTCAAGGACCTTGCATCCTCGCGTTCTCGCTTGCGGGCAAGCGCGACGTGTCATTGTCATCCATAATGTGGATTCGTGTATCAATCTGGCATCGCGTGCCTCCACTCTGATGCACAGTCGGTTGTGTAGTGTAGTGGTTATCACTGTAAGCTCTCCTCACCAACAGCGCATCTGTTCATTCCCATACTAACTCCCAATCAGCCGGATTTTGATCACCTCAAAGTCTTCCGGCAACCCCGGTTCGAACCCGGGCTCGACCTCATCTTTTTGGCTTCTTTTTATTTTTTGATGACAGCAAGCAAAAACTCCAAGAGGACTTCATGCCGCTGAATTGCTTCTGAACCGTCTCCATAGAGTCTGAATCCATACTACACGATGCCGGGAGGAACACCGTGGCCGGAAGACCCGGGCTCTCCAGCACCGACCAACGCCGGCTAGTCTCGGTTGTCGGGTCCGACGTCGGAGCATTCGAACACGCACTCCCCGACTCTCACCCTCCGCACATCACATGACGCACTCTCACTCAACGGAACCGTTGAACAGTCAGCGACTCAGTGGCAGCCATCTCCGCAAACCCCCTCCGTTCAACCCACAATGTCCATCCCCACACGCGTCTTGCGGACGCCTCTCATCCCCGCATCTCGATACGTAACCCGAAGAAGCCGCTTCGTCGCCCAGACTTCGCCGTTCACCTTCACATATCGCACAATGGCCACCGCTGCAAAGAAAGAGTTCCTCTGCATCCTCCCGGATAAGCCCGACGCGCTCGCCAAGCGCTTGGAGATCAGACCGTGAGTCGTTGTCGCATGAGATAGACGATGGTGCTGTGATAAGGGAGCTGACGGTTCACAAGGACTCATTTGGCTGCGGCCAAGTCTGCTGCTTCGGAGGGCAAGGTGGCTGTTGGCGGTGCGTAAGCTCATGAGTATGGATGATTGGCTAGGTCTGACTTAGATATCCCAGGAGCCATGTTCGAGTCTGAGCACCCCTCAGAAGGCAAGACGCCCGCTTTCAAAGGCAGCATGATCATCTACACTGTCAAGGATGCCGATGAGGCGTGGGAGTTGATCAAGAATGACGTGTACGCCAAGAACGGCGTTTGGGACCTTGAGAAGGCCCAGGTGATTCCCGTAAGTCCTCTTCAAGTACAGGAAACTCATTTCGACCTTGAGCTAATGGGGTTCTCACCTAGTTCATGTCTGCTGTCCGCCAAGGACTCCAATGACTAGCAAGCCCATCCAACGGAGAAGCCAAAGCTTCTCTATGAAATAGATGACACATCCGATTGGGCTACATGAATACTTGCTCCTGGGAATCGCCCACTGACATTACTACATGACTATCATTATTCTCGTGAAACCTCATGAAACCTCATGATCCACAGACTGCATCAAATCCTCCACGTCCAACCTCTCAGCCAGGTCCAGCAGCGCCTGCGGCGACAGACCGCCCATCCCACTCGTGTCGAAAATGTCCCAGCCAGGTTCCTCGTGGTCCATTTGGTCGAGGAACGAGCCGTGGTCGTGGTGCTGCGGATGCGCCGTGCTCGGCGACGGCGTCGGGGGCTGTTCTGGGGCCGGGGTGAAGGCTGTCATGATGTTCTCCAGTTGGCTGAGCTCGAGCTTGCGTAGCGGGGCCACGAGGCTGCCCTTGGATATCATCTTGTCCAGGACACACTTGATGTTCTCGCACCAGGTGTCGTCGTGGAGGAGGGAGGGGTCGATGACGCGGACGAGGTAGAGGAGGAAGGCGGAGGAGAAGGCGTCTTCGAGTTGGAAGGGGAGGAAAGCCTCTGATGGTCGGTTAGCATTTTGATCGCCATGTTGGGATAATCTGACGTGATCTGAGAAATATTGACTGACCTAGCAAATCTTCGTCGCCCAGCACTCGAAGAGTCCTGAGAACTGTTTGAGCGGAATCGACGCATGATTGTAATAATGACGCAACGGGTGGCGTCAGAGAGACTGTCTGCGTGGCTCGTAGATCGGAATGTTCAATATGGATGTGCAAGGCGCACATGACCAGAGGTCGGGTTGTAAGAACAACGCACTGAACATCTAAGCTGAAAGCTCGTCACGGCCGGGCAGGGTGTTGACTTACGTGATGATATGAGAGGATGAGCCTCAGGGCCATCCTCGACGCTCTGCTCACCGAACCCTGGAAATGGGTGTCAAGAAGCGCCGTCAAGTCTCGAGAAAGTCGTGCAAGGTCTCGGAGGATGGACTGGGTATTTGACACAAGGGACCCGTCGAAAGACTTGCCGACACCGTACACCGCTAAGGTCTCAAGTCAGCCAGTGGAAGCTCAAGCGACGTCCGGTGAAAACACTAACTGGTAAGAATGCGCGCCATCAAACGCGAAAGCCGGACGTGGAGCGTCATATTCAGGGCGTCCAAGGAGTTGTCCATCTGCGAAGGGAGCTTCACTGTGATGTCCTCGTCTCGAATAGAACTAGGTGCCCCCATCAGAGCGGAGAACTCCCGGTCCAGGGTGTACACCACCCAGAACACAATATTACAGCGTCGCGAATGTTCCACGCCGACGACCTCTTCCGGCATGTGCCGGTATATGCCTTCGACGATGCTGATACGCAACGCTTGTCCGATCTGGGCCATAATTAGTATTTGTCTTCTAGGCGTGCGTCGTCCCCAACTCACATGTTGGAATGCCGCCAGTCTCATGTCGAGACACTGAAAGTAGACAGCCGCCAAAGCGAGAGCCTGTATAGACGATATTGTATCGGGTTCGAGTCCGGATAGGTCCGGCAGCAATGACATGGCCCTGGTGGCATACTGGACGCCCGCCGGACCGGTATGGGAGCTGCTCTGATTCACCACGAATGCCTTGCCAAAGGCCAGTATCAATAGGTATTGTGCGTACCAGAGCCTTGACGAGCTTGCTTTCGCAGAAGGGTCATCGTAGAACTCATGCAGATTCTTCATGAATGACTTCTCGTCGATGAGGTAGAACACCGCGCCGAGGTAGAACTTGGCCGTGTTGAAGAGGAACATGGCGTAGTCTAATGGCGGGAGATTCGACACATCTGGTTCCTCATTGATGCCAAGTGGTTTCCATTGCATCCGGAAAGCCCCCTCGTGGGGGAGATGCCATGGATCTGGCGCTGCTTCTGGGATTCTCTTCCCAAGAAGGGCTAGAACTCTGCGACAGAAGGACCATGATGAAGTTGGCCCCATGTACCCTGAGAGCCTCCATCAGCGCGTCCATGCTTAAGAAGATGGCGAGAGGAATTACTTACAGTACTTTCCACCTGCTTTGGCAAACGTGTAGTCGTTGTCGACCAACGGGTTCTGTCGAAACCCAGGCCCAAAGTCACCGTGGTGTGCAGGTGTATCACCACGATCATCGGGCTCAGACTCTGGCTCAGACTGCTGGTCTCCGCCAAGTAGTGGACTGTCTATGTATTCAAGTCAGTCTCAATGCACAACTCAGGAGGCCTCCACATTGGATTCAAGAACCAACCGTGACTTGGAGTTTCCAGTTGCCCAGTCACCTCCTCGCGCCGAGGCAAGGGTTGACGATGCGGCGTTCCATACGGCTCGCTATACCGCGAAGGACCGTCGTCAATATCATGGCCCCGGCTCACCGCCCTGACCGACCGATCCGAGGCCTGTTCGCTGTTCCGATTCTGAAGTTCACGGAGGTAACTGATTGAGTGGGTCAACTGGAGAGTCCCGACAACACACGCGGCCGCCCGCTCACCGACAACTCACCTCTCCGGGACCGATATTCTCTTATCCTCAACCGCAAAGATGCACCGATGCTTCTTCCGGTCACATCTCGTGCACGGTTGTGAGCCCGAGCACTTGACCTTCATCACCCTGCATCTTTCGCAACTATTTTCAGAAACACAGAAAAAATGTTAGTCATGTGAGCCCTCCCATTCCGTTTTCGGGGTTCCCCGCACGCACGCTTTTTGACATTTTTTCGTCACTTTGTATTGTCCCTGGCTTAATTGCGGCATCTTGAACGGTTTCGAGGGCTCGTGTCACTGAATTCCATGTCGTTTCGCTGAGCGAGGGCTCTTGTTGGTGTTGTTCGGTCGCCGTTGCAGATATTGTCGGAGCGAGCTTCCGACAACGGAACTCATGGCTGCGGCAGCGCGTTGTCTTTATTTAGGTGTCTGCCACTGCGCAGGCCAAGCGGTTTAGCGCATTCATGGATGGCTTATCAGCGCTGGGGTGCGAGTAGCTGACGCGCACCGCAGATAGCCGAGTGGCTTTTTTTGCTCCGTATTCCGGGGTCTTATCAGTGCGGCAGAAGGGAGAAGACTCAGAGGGAGGGGATGCCTTGTTACCCCACACTTTGTGTCCTTCCTGGCATCGGAGTCTGTCTGGAGATGGTTACATTGGATTGACACATACATAGTCATGTGGCCATGCTGAGCCTGTGTCATGTCAACGCAAGAGGCGTCTGTCTATGTAGGGAGCATGCGGAGTCCGGGGTTCGGATGCTCGGTGACCATTGGATGACATGAACGATCGTCACTTCAGTCAAGATTGTTCGCGGGGAAAACGGGGCTGGGAGAAAGCATTGGCCATGCTTGAACGGGGTTATGATTTCGGCCGTGCAATTGCAGAAGCCCCTTTCGATATTGACTTTTTGTTGATAGATCACGAGGGTGTTTGGAAGAGCCAAAGATAGATGATCCCAGCCGAAAATGCCGAGTATATGGAGACGCAGAGGCAATTGGGTTGTCATCCCAGACGGAACACATCGGCATGGAGATTCAAGCCGAAAAGACACCGCAATCAGGATGAAGATATCAGCATTGAAGGGGATGCAAGTCGATCTCTCGGAGGACGACACTCGATCACTCGGCTCCTGCTCGATATGGG